AAGCCTAAGATTCAACCTTAATGACCTACTTATAATTTCATCCCAACAATTAAGTCTCATCTGTATCCCTTCACAATTATGTTATGACCCTTTTCTTTAAATCGCTTCAACTCCCTGTACTTAACATTTATTGAATTAACTCCTCTGACAAACGTTCTCCTAGATATTAGCCCCTTTGTGCCCCAGAAAGACTATATCACTGCTAGCATCCTTTACTATTTCACTTGCTCTGCTCCACTCCTACCCCTGGATAGTATAACCTAATTATTTTCTCCTTATTATCCAACAGTTTATCCTATCCATGTGCCATACCAAATAATCATCTATAATTATAATCTCCTTAAGTTTTCATTCCCATCCCTCTTGTCTCTTTTGCTTTCCTTCCCTCCCTTAATTATGCATCTGCACAAACTAAAGGCTGAAATCTGTTTCTCAATGGAACCTTCTCTTTATAATTAAATTCACTACTAGTAGCCTAATTAGTACTGATTTTAACTTATTGAAGATTATTAATAGCTGCTGTATCTTTTGCATGTAAAAGCTTATGTTCCTCTTAAAGTTCTGCTGCCATTTTCCACAGACTCTATCCTCTTTTCTTTATCTTCTGTTTTTTTAAGATAGTCTCACGAACCTGCAAATTATACAGACAAATTGCATATCTTCATAACTGGCTTACTAGTGAAAATCAGGAATAAATGCTGTAAGTTTATGAAGTTTGAATTGATGGTTTTAAGACCATTAGACAAGATTTAACAAAAGGACAACAAGGAACTTTAGTCCTTCAAGGTTGCCCTTTCAATCCCACCATTGAGAAAAGTAAAAATTTAAAACCACCCTAAATATTTCAGGAAATTAATGACTCTCATCTTAAATTTGTGTAACGTGCTGGTCTAGACTACTGCCAATGGCAACTCATTTTATCACCCTATTAGAAAAATTAAATTGTCTTAACTGGCAGAAAATTTACTTAACTGAAGCATTTTCTGTTTTTGCCAAGTCATAAAACTTATTCCATCACATCTTATTATATTCACAAAATAGCGCAAAAAAATCAGAGGCCTTTATTGTGTCAATTCCATGATAATCTTGTAAACATTGATAAGATCACTTCTTTGCTTTATTTTGTCAATAGAAAATAAGTTAAGAGAACTTAATCTATCCCTATAAGATAAACCTTCAATCACTGGAACCAGTGTAGTAAGCCTTCTTCTGAACTCTTTATAGTAAGTCAATATTCTTTTCTAGATAAGAAGATTAAACTGCACACAGTAGTCCATGTGAGTCCTAACTAGTGATTTGTATAGAGAGATAATTACCTCTTTTAACTTGTAATCAATACACCCTATAATGTTATTAACTTTACTGTTGACAACAGAGCACTGACTCAATGGCTTGAGTGACTTGTTCACCACTATGTCAAGATCCTGTCATACTGTTGAGTAGGTTCCCATCTATATTAAACATGTGATCCAAATAAGGACCAACTTATCATAATCATTGCCCTTATTATAATTAAAATTTTGCCTCACCCACTATTTGATCAAGCACTTAGAAATACCCAATAGTTTAATGCCATCAGCAAACATATACATATACAAATTATGCCTCTGTCAGTATTATTAATGTATATAAGAAAAGGCCATGCAGAATATTAACTGAGAAAATTCCTTTGGTGGGAGTTGGGGGAAAAGTTAATTAATTGGATTATAATGTGGCTAGTTAAGAGAAAACAAACCACTTGGTGGCTCAGCAGTAAGTTGAGGGTTTATAACAGCACAAACTGGGGTTCACTACCAAGATGGACACAACACAGATAACCTTTTATGCAGCTTAGTGCATAAAAACAGAGAGAGAAAGCAAAAGGTTGTTATCAATAGTGTCCAGTCAAACTAGATCTTTATTATAAGTTGTGTATCTCAGTTGTCATTGTTTAACTTGATGACTTTGATATTTGTATGATTACTAGATTAGTTTTGTAACAATTCCTACTGTTTTGGTGGGTTGTTTTAGATTATTTGGTAAAATAAATAATGCAAAATCCACTCCACTTAGTGATAATGAAAGCATTTTATTTCTTTAACTTCAAATTCTGTAAATTAACTTTACTGATGTTCACAAATAGGCTGAAGTTCACAGTAGATACTAACACAACAATTTCACTTACTTGCTAACTGCTTCTTTATATCTAGTTCTTCACTGTAATACAAACCCAGTATTCACTAAACTGAGCTGTCAAACAGTAACAAACAACTAAATAACAAAAATTGGTCACTAACTCGATAATATATGATCTCCCAAAACTATGATCAGTGTAACCTAACTCACATGTTATACTGTCCAAATTGTTCCCCAAACTGTCAACAAAATTCCTAACGTCAAGCCACATTTTCATGTTGCTTCAAAGCCAATGATACAAACATTGAAATTTAAAAAGAAAAAGCATAGCCTCCATTATTAGTAAAGTTTACTGATCACATTAAACTCTAGTATTTATTGCTGTAGTGAGGTATTACTTAATGACTTGGATAAATTAGTATGTTAGACAAATATTTAGTAAACGACTTTTAACCATACTATGTGCAAGGTAATGTATTTGTGTTTTCATAAATTGGATCACATATTTAATATAGGGAGGAACCAATTCAGTACAAATCACTAGTTAGGTCTCACTTGGAATATTGTGTACTGTTTTAGTCACCTTATTTTAAGAATAGATATTGACGTATGGGAAAGGGTGTAAAGAAGGACTTCTAGATTATTTTGGTGATGGAAGGATTATCTTACAGGTTTAGATTAAAATCTCTTAGTTTTTCTTGAGAAATTAAAAGTAAAAATTATTGATGTTTACTGATTATCTGGAGAATCAGTGTGATAAAGGCCTCTGATTTTTTTGTGCTTTATTCTGAAGATGATTAGAAAAGAGGATACAAGCTTGATATTTGGAAAAGATAGCTAGGCTTCAGAGTGATTGACTTATGGAATGAGTTGCCATCAGCAGTAGTGGACAAAAGGCGAGTTTTAAATTTTGACCTCTATTTTCTTGAAAGATACATCCCTCAATACCTAACAATCCTATTTTGTTTATATGTTATGTTTGCTGATTGTTATGAAGCAGTAAAATGGGTGTATCACTTCAGTCCTGGTAATTTTGTGGTTTAATGGATCTATTGATTCATCTCTAGGAGAGTTACAGAAAATAACATGTACCATCTAATTTCACTGAGTCTTAAAGGAGTAGAATAGGGGTATAACTTACATTTTTTTATGTTTCTGTTTGTGTACCAAATATAATTCAAAGTTTACCAGGTTCTAGTTTTGATTGAAGGTTGATAAGACATACAACTTTATGTTCTCCTTAGCAGGTACCACTTTGTGTGATAAGATATACAACCTTAGGTTTTTCTCGTCTCTTCAATGAAAATAATCCTCAATTTCCACGAAAACCAGAAGAAAATTTAACATCAGTTTTTAGTCTTTTTAAGCCCAGAAAAGGAATTGGTGTCGATGTGTTGTCATTCTTGCATCAGAAATGGGATTTTAGCATATCTGGCTTTCAACGTTGGAACAAAAGACGCAAAGAAGCCTTGTTTTTACAAGATCAGTGGTAAGGTTAATGTAGTGTTAGAATAAGTGCATTATCTCAACAGAATTTATTTATCTCTTCTTTTTTTTTAGAATCTATATGCACTCAAATTGTTGTAATAAGTAAACCTTGGTCATCCTTATATCGTATCCAACCTGGAACACATTAAAAATGTACACATGTTAAAAGCGTATGTACAAGGGTCTATTTAGCTGCCTATAAAAACATGATTTTTGATCTTTTCTCGTAATATACGTTATATATTTATAAGACAAATCAGTTTTAATTATTTATGTCTTTCACCTTCAAAAATACTGTGTTCTTCATTTATCAAACTGCATCTTTTTATATCATCTTTAGCATAATTTCAAATATAGCTGGTGATGACAGAGTTTTCTGAATAAATTGTTGCTAAGGGACTAAACATGGTGCATTACATCGATAGGACATCAGAATTACAACATAATTAATAAATAAGACTTTTTGACAAATTGGGTGAATAAGCTTGGCAGAACAGTAAAATTCAGATACAATCAGCTAATAAGGCTTCTCAACAAATTTGAATAAAGTCAACAGAACATCAGATTACTGTTTTTATGTAGACATTATAAGAACTTATCAGTAGAAATCCTTCAATACCTTTATATTTTAATTGTATAGTTTTTTATATCTCTATGTTACCATGAGAAAGTTTTTAAATTATTAAAATTTATTTGTATTGTTTAATATTTCTTTATTAAAATTTTTGAGGAGTCACTGCTGAACTAAGTTTGAGCTAATGGATAACTGATTTCCAATCCAATACATTACCTCTAAATAAATAACTTTCCTCAATTGTATATGTGTAATTTTTGCTCGCCACTAGCCTTGAGGCTCCTATCTAACTTCATGTGATTACACATGGTATAGCTGCATTGTAGCATGCAAACAATTACGTGACAACCCTCCTATACTGTACAGCACAATCATCACTTTTCAATTTGGCATTCACTTGTGCAGACATGCAATTAATTTTCACAAATCACACAGTGATTGTTGCTTTAACTTTTGACAACTCTTTTTTTTTTTTCTGTGTTTATTATCATATGGAAAGTTTTTCATTATTTCTTTTTGTACTCATTGTGAACTCACAATTTGCTGTCACTACTACTGCTTCTGGTATGGTCTACAGGATTTTGATCCTGCCAGACACAAAACCATTGTGGTGTTGAGCTTCACTCTTTCCACCGAGGAGATTTCAGCCTTTGTTTTTCCTGAGTTGGAGTCTTACATGTGGCATCACCTGAATCAAGGTCTGATCTTCCTTTCCCTGGAGAATCTGTTCCAGGGGTTGATGATTTTGACAGCCTTTCTCCTCCTGCTGCTTTTGCTGTACCTTTCCAGTCTACTCCCATAGACCTCCCTTCTTTGACAAGGTATCTCGTGTCTGTTACCTTTTGTTTCTTGAGCTTTTCCCCTTCCCTTCTCCAATCTGGTCTGGCATCTAATTTCTTTCTCATCATTGGGCTGGTGTCGGCATGCCTTGTCTCCCAAGTTTGGTGGATAGGCATGCCTTAGCCTACCATAGGTCTGAGTTTCCTTTTCTTGACTCTTGGACTCTGGAATCACTTATTCGGGTATGGAGTTCTGATTCTTCCTCTTCCCTTCATTTTTCCCCTGCTGAATCCTTACTATTCTTCTACATTTTCTGTTGTCTATTCGTCTCCTTTCAGAAGCTATCTACCATTCCCTAAGGGGATTTTGATGGATACTCATTCTCTTCTTTTATCCATATTGCAGCATTTGTGTTTTCTGGCTTTGTCACTCCATATGTGGTTCCTTTGTTGTTGGGTACTTCTTAGTCAGGGATGTGTTTCTTATGTGTGTTTACCTATTTCACATCTATGTGACCTTTGTCTGGCTCCTCTTTTTTTCCTAGTCTGTTTTTGAGACATCCCTGATTCTTTAGAAGCTCATGTAGATGCAGCATGTCAACATTCCTCCATTTCCTCTCTAATATTTTAGCTTTCTGCTTCTATTGCTGTTTCTTGTCCTCTGGCTTTCTCTCCTCTCCCAGTATCACATTCCCATATTTCAGCTCCTAGTCATCAGATCTCTCATCATCTCCTTTTAAGACATCATCATCATCACTACCCCTTATGTTCAGGCACAGTTGTCCCAATCTGTCCACCTGTGGCACTCTTTTGCAGCAGATTGTTGTTCTTCGGGTTTTGGTGGACAGACTGAATCTTTATTTTTCTTTTCCTTCTTCATTGTCTCCATTTCTCATTTCTTTCCCTCTTCCTTGGGATCCACTTTATTGCCAGCATCTTTGAGAAACAGGATTGGATCTCTTACCGAAGATGTTATCAAACTGGTGTCTCTTCCTTCAGTGGGTTTTTATTCCTATCTGTTCATTGTCCCCAATTTCGAATTACATGGATGACTGGCTTCTTTTGGCTCCTTCCCAACAAGCTTCTCAGAACTATACCCATTTCCTTCTTCAGGAGTTGGTTCGTTTGGGTGGCTTGTCAAACTGGAGAATTCACATCTCACCCTTACTCAATGTCGTATTCATTCAGGGTGTTTTTCTAAGCAGGACCCAGCCTTCTCCTATTCATTTGTGGGACATGGAGTCCTTGGTATCCAAAGCCATGACTTCTTCTCTCACTCTGTGAAAGATTCTCTTTTTTTGGGGACTTGGTCTTCCATTGAATCTCTCATCCATTGGGATCGTGCACACATGCATCATTCAATGGGTGTTGCGTGATCACTGGAACCTCACTCAGAATCCTTTGGATTTCTACATTCATTTTCCTATGTCCCTACAGGTTGAATTTGCCTGGTGGCTTGCTGGAAACAACACTTATAGTGGTATTCCTCATCCTCCTCATCTGGATCTTTTTCTCTTTATTGATTCATCCCTAACAGGGTGGAGGGGTATATTTGGATTTTTAGGAGATAGACAGTTATTGGTTCATAATCAAATTGACTCTCTATATCAATCTCACAAACAGCCAAGATCTCGACAAGTTTAGCTTATTACGTATCACATCGCTGGCACTCTGAATCTTGTTGCCAACAATCTTTCTCACCCTAACGAAATTCTCCTGTCAGAGTGGTCTCTTCCTCCTTAGGTGCTCCAGTGGCTATGCTTACAGCTGGATGCTTTAACCACACACCTCACTACCAGACTTCCTGTTCTGTTTCTCTGTTCCACATCATGCAGTTCTTCCTGTGGATGCATTCATTCAGGATTGTACCAATTTTTATCCATATACCTACCCTCCTATCCATCTTCTCCCCCAGGTACTATCATTTACTCCAACCAATCCATGTTGGGTCCTTCTACTTGATCAGTTGTAGGCAGTCCAACCATGGTTTTCACTCTTGAGCAATTCTCCAGTCATTTCTTCCTCTTCTGCTTCCTCTCTCTTTCTCGAGCCCTCCTACACCAATGTTAATTTTTCCTAGCTCATCCAGCAATATCCATGCTCCATCTTCAAGTGTGGGTTTTGTCTGGTCCCTTGTGATGCACTCCAGACTCTCTTCACATGCAGCCTTCTTCATTTCTCATTCTGTTCGTTCTTTATCTTTACTTGTTTACCAACATAAGTGGTGCATTTTCCCTCATTGGTGTCTTTGTCGTGGCTTCTCTCTTTCTAAGGCCTGGCATGCTAGGTGGTTAGGGCACTCGACTCGCAAGCTGAGAGTTGTGGGTTCGAATCCCCGTCCACCAAACATGCTCACCCTTTCAGTTGTGGGGGCGTTATTATGTGACGGTCAATCCCATCTTCACTGGTAAAAGAGAAGCCAACGAGTTGGCGGTGGATAGTGATGACTAGCTGCCTTCCCTCTAGGCTTTCACTGCTAAATTAGGGACAGCTAGCACAGATAGCCCTCGTGTAGCTTTGCATAAAGTTCAAAACAAACCAAACTCTCTTTCTAAACCAACTGTTCCCCACCTTTCTGACTTTTTTTACTTGGCTCTTTAACAATAGTGTGTCCATTTCTACCACTGCAGACAATAAGGCATCACTTTCCTCCAGTCCTAGTTGGATAAACTGGACTGGCTTGCCTTTCAAATAGGGTTTTCGTTGTCACCCATTGCACTGTCTTGAGTGTTGCATTCCTCCAGACTTCTCACCGCATTTTTCCCTCTCCTCCCTCTTCTGGTGGAATACGGGAGCCATTGCCTCTTACCAGTTTTCAGCTGCTGGTTTGGTGGACCATGGAGGCTTCCTCCTGAGTGTGGTTATTTTCACTGAGTAGAGGTTATGGTGGTGGTGTTCTTTTGGTGTATATGGTGTTTACTCCTCCTACAGCAAACCACAGGACAAAAAATTCTCAATGCTATTTGGTTTTGGACCAATTTTGCTACATGCAGTTCACCCCTCCAGCTGGCTTTCTACCATCGTACCACTGCTTGGATGTTGGTTCCTGGGCAATCTGGTGTTGGACCAGGTAGCATTGAGAATTTATCAACCGGCAGTAGGAGGAGGGTCCCTACCAACCACATATGTGAGAACTTATGTTAGTTTATAGGGCCCTCTCCTACTGTGGACTGGATGACAAATTCTAACACTGCCTGGTTTTGTACTGGAGTTAGCCCACCATGTTTGTATTATCTCTTTCTACTGTTACTCCTCCTCAGTAGACTGGAAGACACATAGCTGATGCTGCTTGGTTTTGGACTGGAGTTGACCCACTGAGTATGATCTGACATGCCCTAGCCACTCAACACCACCTGCCATGTCCATTTTCCCTATTGGACTTACTTCCTTTCTGTTGACTTTGGTGACACCTATATTTTCATGGTTTAGGATATCACTTTCCATGGGTTGTCTTTGTGCACCTTCTGTAGGAGGCTCATCTAGGCAAATTTTGCACCACTCCCTCCGCAGTTTCTATGTGGGACTCTAGTTATTATATAAATTAAGGTAAGTTATTGTATCCTAAGTTATCATTTTCCAACACTAAAAATATATTTCTGATAGATACTTTTCACCTCTCACACTTTCCACCCATCCTCCCCACTTCCAGTGCATCTTTTCTTGCTTAATCTCAAAGTGATGATTGTGCTATACAGTATAGAGGGAGTAAGCTGTGCTTTGAGGATGTGTTGCACTTTTATTGGTGGAGGGTTGTCACATGCTCATTTGCATGCTACAATGCAGCTATACCACGTATGATCATGTGAATTTGGATGGGGGCGTAAAGTCTAGTGGCGAGCAAAAACTCCTCATACAGAGAGCAGCGCATCTCAAGGAAAGCTATTATGTGAGATGCGTATCTATTGGAAATGCATTTTCATTGGTCGAAAATGTTAACGTTTCTAAACTAATCACTATACTTGTATTTATGAATCTGAGATATATTGAACTAACTTAGATGAATATAGTTCTCACTTGACTCTGTAGAGTGGATCAATTATGAAGCTTGGTAATATTACTATAGATTATAAAATGTGTAATTACTATTCTTAACTTAGCTTACCATTTGTTAAAAGTTGCACTTTCAAATGCAAGTTTCAAAATTATATTTTTTGGATGGCTTTTTATATGGAAACTATTTGCCATTTCCTAAGGGAACTGAAATCATCTCTAGATTTGCAAGTGAAATATATGATCCCATCTGTGAGTTAAAAGTAGTAATTAGAAAATGGTTTATTCAGTAGTGAAAAATGCATAGAGCATTAGAGCCATCCATTAAGATGTGACAAAGTTCTTCTTTATTAATTAATTTAATAAGAAACTGTAATCTTTATATTTTTTTGGTATTTCTGTATTTTTAACAAATACATTGACTTCAGAGTAACTTGGCATAAAGTGGATCTACTGGGTGTGGGTATTAGGTTCTTTGACCTAGATGGATAACATAGGTGATCAATGTTAATGTTTAAGACCATTGATCACTGTACACTAATAATGTGATCTTAGATAACACAAGCATTTGATGTTAATGTTTAAGATGATTTTTGATCACTATATATCAACAAGATGATCATGGATAATAGTTATTTGATATTTATATTTAAGCACATTGATCACTGTACACTTACAAAGTGATCTGCTGATCAGTATTTAATTCTCACAGTATACTTATTTATTTGTTTGTGAATGTTGTGTAAATTATGATAAAATGTTTAGTGTTAAAAATGACTAAATGGATGATATGTTTATTAGCTATATTCCAGAACGTCACAACATTTTAGGTCCAGATCTTGCTTCAGCTCATTTTATTGTACATCGTGGAGGATGTGTAAAGTTTGTGGGTCAGGATATCTGGTTGAAAAAAGATGAAGATGACAACTATGACCTTCCATCTCAATATAAACCAAACATGTATCTGGAAAAAATAGATGCTTCTGGGATTCCACTAGCTTATGAAGGATTTGACAACCTAGGTTACAATGCATTTTTTTTGAAAGTAGGAAAAAAAAGACACGAAGAAAAATAAATTCCAATATGATACTTCATGCCTCTCACAAGATTAGCTATTCTCATCCAGTGCAAAATTTTTCTTTACGCATGCCACAAGCCTTTTTGCTGCCCCCTATTGGAATCAAATGATTCCTACCTGCCTCTCATGTAAATCATCATGCGTCATTTCTCCACCAATAGGAGCGTGACATACATGACATGTGACTATATATATGTATATATATATATACCTCTACCAAACTATCACTTCTTGTTTTGCAGCACTTGTGCTCAGATGTGTTCCTCTTGGTTGTTAAAGTTTAATGTTTGTCTTCACTAAACTCGTGAAGTGGTCTTCATTTATTTTCAATTCTAGTTTTATTAAGACTGTTTCCTTACTTCACTTTAATACCAGTTTATTACAGTCACCTAGTTATTTATACTTTCATTTGTGGTTGATTCTGTCTCACTATGAATTCCGAAGTTCATGTTACGTCTTCGGGGATCACACCGGTGATTAGTGCTATGTCTCAGGCCTCAGGTGCAGGTAACCCAATGGGGGATTTATCCATGTTTATTTGCTGGGAGATTGAACATTACATGGGTCAACCTCTATCTCCAGACCTTGCCCCACTTCCTCCTAAACAAGTAGACAAGTCTTTTCAGGCAGATGACAACTTGGATCACTTATTTCCACCTCCTGACTTTGCATGTCTTCCCATGTTGTGCTTGAGGAGTCAGATAGGCCTAATACGGTCTTTTTGGATTTTGTTTCTCAGGTATATGACATTTTGTCCCTTTTTCCTATTCCTTATGAACTGTGTCCTTCCTTACTACATGACCAATCTTCCCATCCCTATTTGGTTCTCCCCTCTAGATATGCTCTTGCATATCATGGGGCAGACTGTCCTTTTCTCGACCAACAATTGTTAGGTCGCATTTTACCTGTTTTGGGTTCATGCCTGAATCTCCTGCGAGTCTGACACATGCCCAATTTTCCCACCTTTGTCCTACCCTCACAACTCTTTTACGGTATCTCTACCATCCATCTCCTCTCTGAGGCTTTCCATTGAAATCCTGAGGGGTTTTCTTGGAACATTCTCTCCCTTTTTTCCTCCACATTGGCATGTTTGTTGTCTTCAGCCCTGGCTATATTTCTCTGTTGTTGAGACCTTCTCGGTCCTGATGAAACCTTAACTCATGGCTGTTTACCATCAACTTATCTTCAGGAATTATGTATGGCCCAATTTCAGTAGCGATACGATTTTGACATGATCCCTGAATCTTTGGAATCATGAGTTACATCAGTACAACAACAGTCTACCCTTGTCAACCTTGTTGCCCATTTGTCTCAGTTGGGGCCCAATATGGCACGTGTTCCCCTTTCCTGTCCCTCCCCTTCTCAACCCTTATCTGTCTCTTCCTCTTGGGGTGCCTTGTCTTCTCATTTATTTCAATGATGCACGTCACATCGCCAACAGTATCGGTGACTACCCGGTGGGTTCTAGTTCGGTGGGAGTGCAGCTTGCCAATTCTCTTCCTCACTGGCATCAATTCGTCAAGGCTTTAAGCCTTTTAAAATTTTGCACATGGAGGATATGAAGTGAAATAATTTTTTTAGGTTTTATCTATACAGTTGAATAACCAAAAAATCATAAATTAGTATATCAATACCATAGAATTCCACTAGAATTTATCAAGCATAGTAACTAAGCTTTATTTCAGTCTAAAAAATTATAAAAATTCGAGCAGAATAAAGACACAACCTACCTTCTCGAAATCTTGGTTTGAAAGAAAGAGACGATGTCTTAAGAATTTAAAATGGCTAAGGAAGCCACTAGGGGGACATTCTGAACTTTTTATTGGTTATTCACATGTTATATATTGAAGTAAGTGTATATATGGGACTGTTTCCAAAACTGGAAAAGAGGTGAAGGAGGCCACTGTGTTTGATTCAGTACATGAGTGATATCTCAGGAAATAGAAAAAATATGTATTTTGTATTCTAGCTTGTCAACATCAGTAATTTGAAATTGTACTTTATATGAAACTATAGACTCAGTATAACTATAGTATTTTGACTTCACAAACATCTAATTTGAACCAATGCTGCATTCAGCATACCACATAGCACACAAAAATCGATGTTTAAATGTTTTTTTTTAATATCGGGAATGGGTACCATAGAAGGAAGCCATGCAGGCACTATAACAATGAAGATTATGGACCGGATATAGAAGTCTATCCAGATCGGGACAAGGGTAGAGAGATAGAGTTACCCTACCTAGCCACCGAGGTTTTTGGGAGGAAGGAACAATCTGAATAAAGGAGAAAATAGGTAGGGTGGTAAAGTGTATGTGAAACGACAAAGGCAAATAAATCAAACCTTCAATGTCCACAGGCTAATTGGAGGAGGAAATACATTTTACAGGAAAGATGAAACATGTAACATGAGGAAAGTGGTTCAAACAGAGGTGAAGTGAGGGTATGGTCATATCATTGTGTTTGTTGACTCGCATTCAAAATTTTATTGAACTACTATTTCATGAATTTATGTCAATAAATTTGGTATGAAACTGTAAACTATTGTAAATTTTAGTATTATACATTATTTAATTTCTTAATTTAAATGCAAACTCTTTATACCTTGGTAGTCTTCCTCTGTTCAGAATTTTTCCCCTTCCACCCTCACTAATTGGGTTTGACTTTTGATTCAGTTGGCTTATTCCTCCTTGACTTCTTCTTCACCAGAATTTGTTCCAGGTGTCTTCTCACCAGATTCAACACCTCATCTTTCCCCTTGCATTCTGTCTTTGTCGACCATTGGAAGAAATTCTACAGTCAGGTATGTGGACTACACCTAATACGTTCATCTCCCATCATCTACACTAAATCACAGTTTCTTCATTGTCAGGTTTTTGTCTTCCACCTTTGGCCATTCTTCAGGCTTCAGAGCGACTTTGACTGGGTAAGTTTCTGTTCATACTTTCTTTTCCTTTCATGGGCTTTTGCTTCTTTTACTCATTATATGGATCCTGCTCTGTGGTAAGTGGTGCCTGACCAGGTATTCTTCAACTTTAAATCAGCACTCTACAGCTATGTTGACTTGTGCTTTATCTTCCATAGTTTCGAATGCTCACTATTGAGATGAGGTGTTCCACAAGATCGCTTGTAGGTGAATAACCTTGTGATGTACTTGCTTCATAAACTTGCCCATTCCAGAATGTACCACCCATAGGTAAAGCAGAAGGAGATAGCTGCCCATTCCTTCCATACCTTCTATTGAATAAATCGGTATGGTCTACTTTTCAAAAGAAGGTTTCATTCACCCATTGCTTTTTTTTTTCTCTAGTGATGAAATTCCTTCAATACTCTCCACCTCGTTCTTATCCCCCTTTCCTTCTAGTGGAGTATGGGAGTTCTTACCACTTTCCAGTTCCAAGCCGTTGGGATGGTTGACCATGGAGATACCCTCATGAAGGGTTTCCACACAAAGATGGCTATAGCCATTTAGTGCAGAGTAGGGCAGTGCAGGTTCTGTCGGTGAAGATGAAGTGCTATCCTCCATTCAGCAATATACACGAACAAAGGAGTGAGACGTCAAATTGGGAGTCTTCATCCTACCCTCCACATGGATGTCAGTACTCTGTGGCTTGGTTTCAGATTTATATTAGAACTGAACAACATAACTCTTCACACATCTTTAGGGTGTCTATTTTCCTCCCTCGAACATACTCCTGTGTTGTGGATCACAGTGAGGATAAAAGGGGATTGTTCTGGCTCTGTCCTCTTGCTATCTGTCATTGTATTTTAATCCAAGGATGTTATTGCTTTTTGGATTTTTCCTGTCAGTTTCGATGTTGGGGAAGTTGATTTATATTATCTAGACATCCTTTCTATACTGGATGTTGGGTATCTGGTTCGATCAATTCAAACTAATACATGTGTCATGCTCAGGAGTCGGGGTGTTTACAGATGCCCTCCATTCTCTTGAACTTGAGGTGAAGACGGTATGATTTTCATCCTACCCCGATGTGGATGTCGGTTCCCAGTGGCACGGGTTTTGGATGTAGTTGACTTACTGAGTATGATTCGTCGTGCCCTAGTGACTCTACACTTAGAGGCACATCCATTTTTTTACCCACTTGTATAATATGTGGAATTGAGTTACATATATATTTACATGATTAGGATCACCATCCTGCCACAGTTCTTTCCCACTTGGATGTGCTCCTCTCTTTTTCTGCCCTTATCTACTACATATTTCACAAATGGGTGAGTAGTATACCTGTTTCAGAAGTTGTGTGGTTCCCCTCATCAGATCTTTGGATCTGAATCTCTCATTCTAGGATACTTTGGATACTTTTGGGGAGTAATTCTATCATTCCCTTGCACCGATCCTGCCTCCTACTCAATGTGGAATTCTAGCTAATCTTGTTAGAAGATGGAAGTACCGTATCAGAAGTTGTAATTTTCCTATATTGAAAATATATTTCTGATAGGTACTTCCCTTCCTCCCTACTTTCCTCCACTGCTTACTTCTGCCAAACCTCAAAGTGATAGTTCTGTAGAGGCATATAGAGGGAGTCAAATGCATCACGTATGTTACACTCCTATTGGTGGAGAAATGATGCATGATGATTTACGTGGGAGACAGGTTGGAATCATTCGATTCCAATAGGGAGTAGCAAAAGGCTTGTGGCATGCGTAAAGAAACATTTTGCATATAGAGGGCAGCACATGATGAGAATAACTAATCTTGTGAGTGGAGGGAAGTACCTATTAGAATATATATTTAAGTATAGGAAAATTTTATGCAACTATGTAGATTTGTTGTATGTTTGTAAATTCTCTCCAGACCTAAAAGACTAGCAGATTCTAAACATTAATTTATCTTTGTGGTGTTTCTCTTTTGTTTATGTATAGTTTTCATTAAGTTTATATGTCTTCCTTCAGAAGAATCTAATTCATTTTTTCCTTACTCATTGTAACATTAGTATTCTAAGGTTGAAATTAATGTGATTTTAAAGACATGCGTAAATTTTTTAACAGAATACAACAGTTTAAAATTAACAACATGAGGTGAATGGTAAATAATGTACCCAACCTGCCTCTTTGGGAAGAAGTATGCAAACTTTATTTTTTTACAACTTTCAATGTCATCTTTTTTTTTTCTCTACCCACTTCCATTAGAACTTGTTTAAGTCGGTGTGATGATGTCTTTAATCAGTGATTTTGACAGTTTAACAACAGGCTCATTGATTACTTTTCCCAGAAATTTTGTTGTTCATAGGAGATGTATGATTTGTTACTTCATAACGAAATGCATATCTCATATGCTCCTTAACATCTTCATGTAAATTATGTGCGTTGTTGTTGTTGTCTAGTCATAGTGTACATTATGACCATGGATATTTATGTAGTTTTAAAAATCAATGGAAATTGTTTTTTACTTTTGTACGAGATATCTTTTATGGCCTTGAAATTTTTTAATCTGCTATTTTATGTTTCTCAGAACTTTTTAAAATGCCTTAAATTATTATTAAAAGTTCTGTAGCATTCTGTAGTAATTTAAAGTAATTTAGAATTTCAGTTTTTTATACTGTTACTGTGTTTTTTAAGAGGTGCATATTTATGTAATGTCAAAACACAGAACTTGGGGGAAGAGTTACATGTCTGAAAACTGGAAACCATTTGATTGTTTGTTAAAAGTTAAGGATTATTAATTTTGCAAATTTTCTTATAGTTTATGTATTACTTATCTTTTACTTAGTGAACTTGTTGCATTTGAAGTCCTTGACCTTGCATGACTCTCCACATCTGGATGATTGGTGCCTAGATCGATTTCACCAGTTCAGGTCATTAGAGCATCTAGATATTAGTGGCTGCCAGCAAGTTACAGAAAGGGGAATATGCACTCTTCACAAACTAAAGTAAGGAATTACTGCACATTCAATCACTATAAAGTGGTTAAAAATCTCTGCTAGATAACCTAAAGTACAAGTGCTCTGGAAGTCCCTCAGTTGTTTGTGGATTTTTGAGAAAGTAAGAAATACCAATGATACCAATTTGTTTTATTTACAATATTTTTATTATTTTTGATTCAAGCTTCTTATTTCTGATTAACTCTTTCCATATAGGGCTGTGGATTATGCTGACCTTTTAACCACATAGTAATCATGAGTATACAGTAAACATTAAAGTAAAAAAACAAATGTTTTAATTAAGTATTTTTATTAAAGATTTGTCTATGAGTATACGGAGTCCAAATGTAAAGTTATTTTCATGATAAGATTAAAAATATTTATATTCATCTGAAAATATTCTAATTTTGTTTGTGTAACCTCTAAACCTTCTAAATAAGTATCAAACTTTTTTTAAAGTAAAACTTTATATTTTATCTGTTATTTTATCCACTCTAACTCTACACCTTATAACCACATATGAAATAAATCTAAATTACTTTTTCATTCTTAGCTAATAGATTTTTCATTTACTTTTTCTTTACAATTGAACTCAATACAATACAACCATCTCATACTATTGCTTATATCTTCATAAAGCTATTTGCTTTCTCATTACAAGTTGAAACTTTAGTTTGAGGATATGTATAAGTGAGATATTCCACAGAAAATTACAATACTTTAGAAAAATAGCAGAAAATGTAGAAATTAATAGCTTGGACTAAAAATTTGATACATGAAGTGAAATTTAGCATTAATTTATACATATATTTATTTGTACATTAAGAAATATATGAAAACATTAAAATTTGAACTATAAACTATGTTTTAATGTCAAGGTTATTGATATATGTGTTGATAATAAAGTAGTTTAATTAAATTTTGAATGTAACTTTGTAAAAGTTCATGATGTGCACTTTGACCATTAAAGTTAAATGTTTATTGTAATCAACAGAAAGATGTTTAATGTGTTTTAAGTATTATATAATTATTCAGATTTGATGAATTTGTTAGAAAAAATATTTCAACTTAAGAGAGAAAATTGTTTATTTGTATGCCTGCTATTTATTTGAAATTATATAATTCCATTGGGAAGATTTAAGTTAGATTTTTTATTTTGTGTTCAAATTTGTTGAAAGAAAAAGTTTACATCAAATAGAAAGTTCAAAATATGTTCACCGTACCAAACATGGTATTGTGAATGTATTTTGAACTTTGAACATTGGTTTTGTTGTGGATTTCTGTGTGATAGCAGAATTGTCTCTTTTGTGCATAATGTCCATTCTTTTAAAAAGCATGATAGAGTTTGAAATCCTGAGGCGTACTGTCATTCCATGCTTCCCTATGTTTTTGAACAAACATGAGAATATCCAACTTAGGTGTGCTCTTTTATCCTTTCTCTTAGATGGTGCTTCATACTGCCTGTATACATCAAATAACATTTGACAAGCCTGAAACCATATAATATGAGCTATTAGAAAGTAGGATACTTTCTCTTAAACAGGGAAGAAACGTCCCTAGTCTTAAAGAAGACTTGAAAATTGTCCAAAGTTGAACTTGAGGATAATAAAGTTATAAAATGCTCTAAATTTGTTTTCTCAGTTGCATACTGTAAATTTCTCTCTGGTGTTACTAAAGTTAGTGGCAATTACTGTACATTATATTAACACACTGAGAGGTTGTTCAAGTTTGGATATACCATTCATTTGTATCTCTTATAAATTCAAGAGGATAATTATTTAATTGTAACACCTCTTTTATATGATCTAATTGCTCTAAAATTAACATTTCTTTACTCTATGTACTAATATATTTGAAAAATCAAGTTTATACTGAATTGGGAGTATAACTATAAGTAGATTTGTGATTTCAATAATATCCCAGTTTTCCATTATTTATGATTTTATGAAAAACATTACCTAGAATCATACCTTGCTGAATTTAAACTTATATATCACAGATATTACATGAATGAGAAATTTATGGTATTTGAATATAGATTACATAGAGGAGTTTGCTAAGTATACAAACTAATGCCACAGATATATACAAAATTTATGGTACAAGAAGAATCCACTCAAATTAACAGTTTTTTACATATGGTAGTAATAAGGTTAGATAATATGGGAGATACAGGGGAACCCATATCTTTACCATCAACCTGATCATATAAGTTATGTTAAATAGGAAATGAGATTTTCCTGTAGTTGTCCTTAGTTAATACATTTTTTTAGACTTTATATAAGCATTTTGGAATACAAAAAATTATAAATTACTATACCAATACCCCAAAAATCCACTAGTTGATCAGGCTTCCTAACTGAATTGTATTTGGGTCTAAAAAATATCATTTCCATTCACAAAATATTCTTGATAGCAATACTTCAAACTTTCCAATGAAATAAGAGCATTTCTCTCATAAATAACTTAGGGAAGACTGACAGAATTATGTATAATATATAGCTTTTGATTGATTATAAAGTGTTTGGTATATGAAAGTAGGTGTAGATAAATAAGTCTTCTCAAATGATGAAGTAGGGGGCAGAACCAATTTGGTGGGTTCACTAAATATCACAATATCTCGGCAAATAGAGAAGGTAGGAGGTTCTCATATTATATTCTAGCTTGCCAATATCATACATTTGGGTGTCAAATTTGTATGAAACTATAGACATGTATTGTGGGCATCATAGAATGTAATCTGACCAAACCCAGAAGGCCACGTACAACGTGACACACAAAAAATCAATATTTAGCCTTGTTTTTAATATTTAGTTTCAAATTAAGAAACTAAGTAATGTATAATACAAAAATTTGAATTATAAACTTATTGACATATGTTTATAGAATAATAGCTAAATAAAATGTTGAATCTAAATCTAGAAATATGATGACATGCCCTCTCACCCTACCTGTCTCGATAGGGTTAAATCTACAAGTTTTATGAATGTTTATGTGAAATTTGACAGTTTATAATTGAATGTTCCATTACTAGACACCACGAACCTCACAGAGCAGCCTACTTTGTGGATATTTGGTAATTCATACAAGATACCAGGTTTATAATTGAATGTTTCAATATTAGACACTAGGTGTCATACGGCAACAAACTTTGTGAATTTTGGGTTTTGAAACTACTGGTCTGAGCTGCTCTAATATCTGATCATTAATAACTTTTTTAGTTTCAATAAGTATCTAACATTTTCTCTCTGGTTTGTGCAGGATCCTTTTTTAGTCTTATAAAATTAGTTTTATTTTCAAGAGTGGTTGATCATCAAAATAAAATCATCCTACTGACAATAACAATAAAAATACCATTTGAGATGATAAAATCCATTTGAATTCATAATTGTTTTAAAGCTTTCCATTCTTCTTTATTAGATATATAAAGCTTCTTGCTATTGTTTTATGAATCTATACTTTTTAATGAAATATCCCTAATTAAAATTATTATATTATATAGTCGAAGTTTACATTAATCTTTTTTTAAGTTCATTTAACTGATACTTTGATAATTATATTATAAAGATTGTCTGGAAAAGACAATTTATGTTGTTTCTTTAACCCTATTGCCACGGGTATCCTTTACTGAGCATGACAAAATTTGATTAAACTACTTTTTGTTTATGTTATACCAATTAAAATTAGCTTGGATGAATTTGTAATGACTCTTGTCACATAGTTAGAAAGCCAGAAAAATTTTGAGAGGTAAGGGAATTTGTCTACTTTTTGCATGTTATTAGTCTGTATTCTTTGGTGCATTATTCAATTAAATAATAATTGATAAGTACATTACTATAATAACTATAAAAATTAGGCTTAACTGTTCTCGACAATTGAGGGCAAGAAAAATAAGATTGGTTAAGTATTTTGTTTCTTATTTTTCATATTTATTTTTATTATAATTATAAAAATAACTAAAATCTAAAAATCAAGATCTTTTTAACTTATTTAAGACTAGACTAGGTAAAATAAGTAATATAATTAAAATGGTTCATGAAGCATGCACGTGAGCAGCTTGTGGGTAATGTAATTCGATAGCATAACGTGAGCTGCACTTTCCCCATGGATATTAGTTAGACATAGTTCAAAGGGCAATAAAATTTAATTATAAATATATATATACCGTTATGAATTTAGAGCTACTTAGGATAAATGATTGTAGTTTTGATGTTACAATTTGAAGTGATTCTAGAAAGAAAAAAAGGTAACTTAGGTTTTGACTGATCCAATTTTGAGGTAGGGTAGAAAAAATAACAGATAAACTATAAATTTTTAGGGGAAAAAAATGCTTGAAATGCATTTAGGAGGTTTTAATTTTAACATGAAAATTACTTTGCACATGGACTGTTCAAAACAAATACTCTATATTAATGTACAAATCTTTATTTTATTAAAAATGCTTCACTAAAATATGACTTTTTGTATGTGAAAGAATTGTTATATTAACTGAAAGACTGCCAAATTTTGTTAAGCTATACAATGTGAGAGTTATAAGTATTAAATCTATAAAGACTTTAAAGCAGTACAAAACAGTCATGTGATCAGTCAAATTGACTGAGCCCATAGTGAGAGAGTTAAACAAGATTTTTTTTTTCTATATGAGTCAGTTGACATTTATTAATAACCTTATCATTTTGTTTTTCAGTTATTGATTTCAAATGGATAAGTTTCAACTAATTCACTTTGTTTTTCAAAGCTGAATTGGTTTTATCTAAGGCTTCATGTTCACTATCCTACCAAAATCATGGGACACACCTCTAATTGCAGGAAAATGGTGTGACGATGAAATATTGAAATAGTTTGGCCTATAAAGGTGATCAGTGGTTTGCTTGGAAGTCATTTTGAACTTATACGCCAAATGATGAGCATACGGAAAGTGCTAACAGTTTCACAGGGGAAAGATCATAGTTCATAGGTGACAATGAGCCCAAGAAACAATCAGGTAGGCGTAAAATACTGACTTACAGGAGCCGACGCACCTTGAGAAAGCTGATTACCTCATCTCATCATCAGACCCTATTGAATCTGTGTTTAGAGATGTGAGTAGCCACAAGCAATCCTGTAAGTGTTCCCTCGACACGTCGAGAGCTGCATGCCATGAATTTTCATGGAAGAGCTGCAGCTCACGAGTGGTTGATAACAAAATCAAATGCACACAGTCGATTGGCATGTGGCAAGGCACAACCAAACCTGGACTGTGGATCAATGGAAATTGGTCCTGTGGAGTGACAAGTCACGCTACATGCTCTTCTAGTCTGATGGACATGTTTTGGTATGGAAGATACCTGGAGAACACTTATTACCTGAGTATGTTGTCTCAACAGTGAAGTTTGGAGGTGCCACTATCATGGTCTGGGGATGCTTCTCATGGTATGGACTAAGTCCACTGGTTGTAGTGCATTGATCCATGACTGTTGAGTCCTACATTGATGTTATGAACAGTTCTGTGTGTCCTGCATCTTGGTAATTTTATGGTACTGGCCCTTACACCTTCTAACATGATAATGCTCCATGTCACAAAACAAGGATTGTGAATGCATGGTTTGAAGAGAAAAACATCAGAACATTGCAGTGGCCAGCACAGAATCCTGACCTCAACCTGATAAAATATCTTTGGGATGAACTGGAATGCAGAATTAGGGCAATGCCAAGACGGCCCTCTTCAGTGGTGGAGCTTATTAATGCTTTAAAGGAGGATTGGAGCACAATACCACCAGCTTTCTACCAGAAATTAGTAGACAGTCTTCCATGATGCATTGAACCAGTCATTAAGGCCAAAGGTGGGCCAACACACTATAATTTCTTGAAATAAAGACATTTTATTCATAACTACCAGTGTCCCATGACTTTTGGTAGGATAGTGTAGTGTCTTACAATTTGGTCATTAATGTTTAATTTTAGCTTTTAGGAACTTAGTGTGAGCTTGGTAGTACCAGTTACTATTTTTTGCAGCATTTCAGAATTTAAATTGAGAAATTCTGGAAGAAATCTAAATTTGTATCATAAAATTAGAAACAATGTAACTTATTTTTGTGAAATATTAAGGTTTAATTACCATATCTGTTTTTTTATAATGCTAACTATTAAGTAGATTCTGAGGAACTGTAAGTTGATTAGAAAGATAAGGATTAAGCTTACTACAATAAACACTTAACCTTATTTCAAAATGGGTTTTTCTAATAACTGATGATTAAACTGATTAACATCAGAACCTAAATAAAACGAGTGCATATGAGTGCAACATTTAGTGATGATTAGCTTTTAGAATCTTCAGATGAATGGACTTTATGCACCAAAACTATCATTCTGATATCACAAAAAGAACTCTGCAACTTCTCTGTTATTTACATCATAGATATGTTCAGTGTGAAACTTGTCAGTTTAAATACCATTGACTTGTTTAACAGAAATTATACACTATTTAGTAACACAATTTTTGATTTACTTATTTTATGTAAATTGTGTATGATGGTTAAGATCTTTTTTTTTCCAACTGTAAGTAAAAAATTCTGAAACTGTGGTGGTTTGTCTAAAGATGATAAAGTTTATGACATAACTGCTGAACAATTATGGTGAAGATACATGAAAATAGGTTCTAAATACATATTTAAAATAGGGAGTTGGAGTCAGACTGAAAAAAGTGTTGTGCAAACAGGTAGAAGTTATCATACACACAGGGATAAAATAAAAATTATATAATGCCATAAATTTGTCTTTTCATATTCCAAGTCAAAACCATACAAAGGAATTAATAATATTCTATTTAGTATTTATGCAGATTGAAGCTTGAATATATCTTTGTCACACACTCAGTCTGTATTGTTAAAAGTGAAGGTAAATT